TTTTTTCTTTTAGCACACTCTGACAGCCTCTATTTTTCAAATCATATATTTAGATCATTCGTTTTAAAGTGATTATATTTATTAGCATATATCCTTTAGTTGTCCTAGGATTTAGAATGGACTTTTGCTACTAATACAAATATACTTTCAAGCAACTATATTCTGCTTCCCATTAGTGACAATATCAATACCCAGTATCAATAGTCAAATATTGCCAATTCCTTTCTCCTGTCTCTTAATATTACTGACATGTTTATTTTTCCCTTGCTTTGCACATAGTCATTTCACAGCTCTATCTTATTTATTATATGGTTCCTGAAGAGATATCCTATATAATTCTTATACTTCTCCTGTATAGGTAAGGTACTTTAGTTTCTTTAAAGAATGTCTGGTTTCTGCAATTGCAACATATTACTAGGTATAGTAATAATAAAGAAGTACAATAATAGTACATATGATCTAAATATACAGTGAATATTTAAGTTTTGAAAAATGTATTGTTGTAAAATTGCATTGTCATTATACCCCCTCAGAATGCTCCCCTCACTTCGAGTATATTTATCCCATTGTTCTTGTCACTTTCTGAAAGAGACATTGCAGCATACTCTTAAATCTTTAGAACTATAAGCTAAATAAACCTTTTTCCTCTATCATGATATCCAATCACACTTATTTTGTAACAGCAATAAGAAATGGATTAACATGAACCTTAATTCTTTGTATGTATCTGTCTCTAGTTTTTAGGATGGTGGTTTGTCCTATGACTGAAATTCTCTGAGGGATCCCAGAAAAGTCATTGCTTATCAGTCTGTTCAAGTTTTTTTCTTAGTATGAATTTAGGAATAATCACTTTCAAGCTCTTAATGCACTGAAACTAACATGAGAAGTCTTGAGTGTTGTTTCTAAAACTTTTTATTACTATGCAGAGACCTTTCTATAATCACATGCCCACATAGTTTTCATTTTAAAAGAATTATATAAGTTTTAATTCAAACCTAATTCCATCTCTTTTTATCAGAATTATAAAAATTAGAAGTAAGCATTTCTATCTTCTTGATACTCCCTTTCTCACTTCACTATTCTCAGGGTAATTATCATTTTCTATTTAGTATATATTTGTTTCTTTTACCTAGAGATATCTAAATGTACACACATACTTTTTAAACAAAACTTTAATCATATTTAATTATTGTCCTCCAACCTCAAGATAGTTACAAACAATATTCAGAGGAATAAAAATAAATGCAAGGTATTTTTGCTATATACTCTTTTGCAGATTTTCTTGTCCAGTTTTGTAAACATTATCATGAAATGGAAGCATTAATTGAGCATTTAAGGCTCTATGTATCTACTTTTTCTACAAGCAATAAAGCCTTGACTATAGGAATAAATTGTACATAGAATGAGCTGAATCTGAAATATATATCTACCCTGGCATGTTAAACATAACAGATGCTCGACATCTATTGGTGGCTCAATATACCTATCTAATTATACTAGTAATTAAATAAAATATAGTATTAGTCATCAGGTAATTCACACAGATTTATAATATACAAAATTTATAGGAGGAAAGAATTATGATGATATGCAACAGAAATGTTTTTGTTCATGTGGGATAATTAGGAATGAGAGGTATATAATATGAAGGAGAAGTCATGAGCCAAATACATAATAAAAATGTTTTAAAACTAAGTTTTATTGAGCACTTTTTGTCTGTATTCTCGTCCAGAAACTTTGCATGTATTATGACATTTAATATAATCAAATAAGAGTATGAGATCAGTGCCCTTATTTTCTTCAATTTAGCTCTGAGGATACTGAGGATTAGAGAAGGGAATAATTGGCCCAAGTTCATAAGATAGTAGTCTATAGAACCAGCACTTTTCACACTTCAGTATCTTGAAGGATAATATTGGAACACTAGGTTGTGGCTTCGTTTTCCAAGATTTTGAATGCCAACTTTAAGTATTTTGAATATTTCTTTCCAAGCAATGTAGAGTCAATGAAGACTGAACCAGACAAAACGTTTGTCCAAATTAATGTTGTCAGAAAATTAATTTAATAGCCCTAAGTAGAATAAACTGAACCTGAAATGGATAAAAAGCAATTACTAAGAAATCTGTTTCAGTAGCTTACCGTAGTGGAGTAAGTGCTTACATCAGGGTAATAGCAAGATGTAACAAAATCAAGGGTAGCTTTTACAATCACATTGCTTCCTTAATTCTACCAGAGGAAATATTATCATAACAAAAAGAAAACAATAATGGCTCCACTTACTTCATAGTCTTGGATGTCAAACATAAAAGATCTTGCCTCTAAATACAGACAGATACAAGAATGGGCAGATGGGAAAAGGACCTATTGGCATTCGTGCATTTACCAATATTCAGAATTTCCTAAAAAGTATTTTACAATACAAAATTGCAAAAAGATGCATATTTGAAAAATTGAAAGATGAAGATGATTATGATACGGTATATGTTTATTGATATGCTACATATTATCATTAGTAATAGAGCCAATTTCAAAGAGGTAAGCTGGAAAAATTTATTAGGAAGGATAAATCAAAGGAGACTTAACCAAAGCATAAGTACTCAAGAAAATGAAAAATACAAAGGTAAAAGCAAGAACAGCAAAACAGACATTTTCACTCAGGGAGCAGAACATTTAATACAATCGTATGAAAAGACATTATAATAGAAAGAGGAGAAGGAATAAACACCTTTGGTACACAGACAAAAATAACTGTTTTTAGAAACCAGGAGATGGATTCCAATTTCCATAACTTAATAAAAAGACACTTTACATGCAAAAAAGCCAATAGAAAAGATTAGAGACTGAATGACCTAAAATAATGCTTTAGAATTGCCCTCTTTTTTCCCTCAAAAACCTAATATTATTCAATATAATAATATATACAAAAAAGTAATCTAGCAGCAAATTAATTTTAAATGCCTGAATATAAAGAGAAGGACATGTGCAAATAAACTCAGCAGGTAGTTAATAGCCAGTTTCTCCCAAGAACTGATTGTCATCTTTATATCTGAAAAAAAGAAAAAAAAAAAACAATTTCTGCCTTTGAGAATATCTCAAATATTTATACTGCCGTTTACCTTACTAGTTAGTAGACATCAATATCCTTGGCACCAAAAGAGAAGTACTGGAAAGAATGAAATGAGCTCACAAGAAACATTTCTCTTTAAGTAAAACACCATGAGGGGCCAGGGATTTAGCTCAGTGGTTTCGTCGCCTGCTGCGCAAGCACAAGGACCCGAGTTCGATTCCCAGTCCAAAAAAAAAAAGAAAAACACCATGAAAATATAGTAGATTACAATTTCTTGAGTATAAATTGTCACGTGTACACACTTCTTTAAAAATGAGTTTAATATAAAAATTATTCTTGGTACTCCACTAATGTGTTCACTCTCTCCACCTCCAGTAGCAGCAGTTTAGCCGATAAGTTAAATGTTGAAAAAACATAGTAGTGCCATAGAAATCAAGCCAAGAGCTATTAGGGATGGCTTAATGATCAGGATTAGAGTACCTAATTTTCCTGGAAAGATATCCAAATCCAAACCCCAGTAGTCATTTCACGTTCTATTTTTGAAAGATAAATGAACTATGTTCCAAATAACTCATCTTGTAAAGGTGGTTTTGGCAGGGCTACAAATACCTAGCAGTGTTTTAGGAAATTTGGAGGTAAAAATGTCTACTTACATTTGAAAAATTTAATATTAAAAGATATTTAAAGTTAAAATTGGCATTTTGTACCCTTTCCACAGACTTGTTATATAAAGAATAAACAATATAGAACTTTGTGATTCTATTAATCAGTGATTGAACTAAGAATAAAATATCTAGATGTCCTGAACTTCTCCCGGATACAGCCTCACAACACACCTCTCCCTGCTCTGCTTAAATAGTGAATCTGGCTACAAAACTGCTGTCCACATGATTGTCACAGATCAAAATCATGAAGACAGTTCTACATTCGTGATGAAACTGATTTCTAGTACACTAGCAGTGAAAACCGAACCACTGGGCAAATTGTACAAGATTCCTGGACTGTATTTTGCTCACACTAACTGAAGAGCCTAAGCTTGGGGTTCTTTTAGAGATCTTTCAGCCACTGGCTCCTACATTGTCAAGTCTTTCCCAGTACTGCCAGATCCCAAACTGACAGGTAAGACTGGCAAGTGTAATGATGGGTGCTTAACATTACTGAAGCACTGAAATCTAATAAGATGTTGCTAGGACAATGTAATCTATAGACAAGGTTTTCATCATGTTGACTGAAAAAGTGCCTCAAAGTGCCTAGCAGCTTGTTGTGCATTTGGTAAGGATACTTTCACGTACAATTTCAAATTCATATTCAACTGACATTGATTGAGGAAAATCCGTGTGGTAAGTATTCCCCTATGTCCTACCACTTAAATTATTAACTTAATCCTTACAAAAGTTTCTAAATTGTGTTCTGCCACTTTCACCATTTTTTAGTTACAAAAAAACTGGTGCTGGGCTGGTGAGGACCCCCGCCCCGGCATGCCCACCAGCCACCAGTTGGCGCCTGCAACAACAGCCCCCACACTCCCTCTTAGCTATACAGCTACTTGGATCCATACTACAGAGGCACAGGGGGACCTAAACGCCAATTGTCCTGAGCTGTAGAAGTGAACAACAGAAAGGGCCTCTCTAAGGCTCCCAGGTGAAGCCCACTGGAAAAGTGAGGAGAATCTCTGCAATAAATGCACACCAGACCACCATGCTTGGTAAGTTGGAGGGATCATCACCTCCCATCGGAACCTGGACTATCTTCAGGGGAAGGGCAGCTGGAATCTGCAGTAGAACCTTGCAGAGTTCAACTCTGCAGGAGGACAAGGAGCTCAACTTGGGACTTGCAGCCAGAAATCTGCCTGAATCTCATGAGTCTGCAACTGGCTTACTGAGACTCATTGCCTTATAACCGCACACTGCTGCCCACATTGTCTGTTGTGACAGCAGAGACATACCTT